TAAAATATGAAAACAATGAATTAAATACACTATTTGCCCACCCTCCTTAAGTCCTCTATTTCATTACTGTTGTTATTTTGATTGCTTTCTGCTTTTCTTTTCTGTCAGTTAGAAATCCTACTTTCAATTCCTGATATATACTACTTGTATCTGTTCGTACACAAGTAGTATACATTATAGTGTCTCTTGGAGATATGATGTTTGCTAAAACTTCTCAGATGGTATTTAACTTTGTTTTTGCATTATTCCTTCAAAAATATATCTTGAATTCGTTTATACCAAAGAGATTATTAGCCATTTTATGCTGATTCATTTACTTATGTAACGCAACAAGTTGGTCCTAATCAGTAAAATGTTAGCATTCGTGTATAGTTATGATAGCTCTCCAAAAGTATATTTCCTTATTATTTCGTAGTCTGTCAACTGTTTGATATAGAAAACAGTAATTTTGGGTCATCAGATTTGTTATTGAAATTGTAATACTTTCTGATATGTCATTTGTACATATGAAAACTAATCAACATTATTAAGTTATACAATAACAAGTATACCATCCAATTAAATCAGACTTATATTTTATAGATGGGTCTAATCTATCAAGGTTGTGACATAGAAACTGCGTATTCAGATACTAGTTATCTGTCATGATGGCTAACATAAAATTGGAGTGAGGAAATTATTAGAGTCGACTATGCCAAAGCGTGCGCACAGTTCGAGCAGTCATTCAACAATTGTCTATGCAGTACAGAGAAGTGTTGACTCCTTGGTTAGAATCTACGCAGAGATTGTAGTTTTTGATAGACCATAAATGACAGCTCATAATCAATTTCATTAACTTTAGATCTTTAGTGTTTACATTACTCACATTGTTAATTTCTTTGTACTTTCGGACGATACTATCAGAATTTAGTTTTCCACCATTTCCACTGTTTTACTTTACACTTTTATTAATTTTTCGTCTCTTTAATGACAATTTCGGCAGTTGAATTTCTGTCACAGGTTTTACATTTCTTATAACTAAGATCTAATCGAACTCATCGCTAAGGAATAATATTCGATTAACCCCATGATAATAAATTGCAGTATTTGAAAAGAATCAACAGTAATTCAAAAACTAGAAATTTACAAATAGGGCTGAATACATTGTACAAGTATTTAATTCTACTTTATTTCAATTAAATATTTTATCTTTTCTCATTATTACCAAACACATCTCAAAATAATCTCTGTATTGAACAGAGATGAATGTGGATCATCTTCAAGAGAACTGCATGAATTTGAGTAGGTGGTTTTCTCGTTAGAGATAATTTATATTTTACAATTTAGATACATTATCATCATTAATACTATTTAGATGTACGAATTAATCATCACAATCTTAGTGTTACGAACGTCACGAATTCCGCAAACATCATGTTCCATAAATCAGTAGATTTAAAACGGATAAACCGACAACGTGTCAGAATTAAACTACATCAAGTACATCTAAAGCTTATAGATAATACTCTTTGTTTTTAAATATTTAGTGAATTATATATGAGAAAGGTGTTTTAGATTGTTTTAATTAATCGTCCAATTAATAAAAGTATTAAAAAAAACTGTGAACTAGGCAAATTTTAAGCTGCATTAACTCCGTATAATCACAGTTCTAGTTTTGGTTTTTAAACCACTTCCAAACACAAAACAAATTTTTCGACGAAAAAATCATCATTGTGACGACTTTATTTTCAAATGATGTACCAATATATATATGAAATTATAATCTAAATGATAATAATATGATTTCGTTAACTTGTGGAGTAAGGTCAATACCATTGAATAAAATACAATATATGAATCGTCAAAATGATCAGAAAATATGAAAATTATACAAGGCTAAAGATTGAACACATGTAAGAGATTATGGTAGAATTTTCCTTCAAATTATGTAAATGAATGTCATTGTGAATATCAATATGACATGCTATGAGATAAAATTTGTAAATCTGTGTCGAACATAACAAATTATACTGCACTCAGAAAAAAATACTCTTGAAGTTTAAGAAAAACAAAGACAGAGAAAGAAGAATATGAAAGTGTATAAGGAACCAGGGCTTAGATGTTAAAAGAGATCTTAAAGCCTATTTAATGTAGACGCAGAATTAGCTTGGAATTGAAGATAGCTAGAGCTTGAGTAGTGGTAAGCAGACAAATGCATATGCCTATGGATAGATATTGTTTACTTTTACAAATGATATCAAACAATTTATATAAATTGTGTTCTGAGATTATTCCATAGTTTTTCGTTTGCATCTACTAAGCCAAATCACTCTTGTCAGGGAATACTTCTGGACAAATAGCTTTTACTGTTATCAGCTAAAATGTTTGTGAAAATAATCGAACTCATTATATTCTATAGTAGCAAGTTTCGTATTTTTTAATTTACAAAAAAGTAAAAATTTTTTCTTGTGACTGATATTAACGTGATTAGTTGAACTACACTCATAAATATGATCTATGCCAGGAGACTGGTTTGAATTTCGTGATAAATGGATGCGATAAGCTGCATCATTCAAGACCCTACCCTACTTATTTCTGAATCCAACTAGTTCTGTATTCACAGTTTGACACTACTATGCAATAACAACTGGGTAAAATAAAAACAGTTCAGAAGAAAAAATCTTATTGATGTTATTTTCTCAAGTTGTACAATCGTATCTATAGTTATTTTACACATACTAATGTATAATACAATTTAAAATTGTTGGGTCATTAGCACAGGTACCAAGAGTTAATCAAACTTTTTAAGAGCAATAAGAATGAAAACAACATAGAAAAGAGGTGTGGAAGTTAAGTGTTCACTTGGCGAATATATGGAGAAAAGAGACGGATACATATCATAACAATTTGAAATAAAGTGTTAGGATCATCGCTAAGTAAGGGATTAGATATATCACTTTTGATCACAAAGACCAACCTTGAATTGACGAAGTGTCAAACCCTTTGCTATACACAGATTTTTTCAATCGGATACCCTTATAACCAGTTCGCTAGACTTCATGAATTATTTAGAATTGAAACAGTTTAAAAATAAAAATATTAGCTGATTCGCATTCACCTTTTAATAACCATGCTCGGTAGTGTTCAGATATGCTTTTGGAAAGAGGATACATATTGGAGTTAATAACAACATATTCCACACGAGCAAATAAAATGACATGCACAAGGAGGTAACCAAAGCAACGGTCCATCCTTGAATTAGTTACTGCATAATGCAATCCGTAGTTCAGTCGAATCGAGTATCTCACTCAACAATCTTGACAATGATTTCTTAAGATCACTGCAATTATACTTCCTCGCTTTAAGCTCAATATACAGGAACAAAATCTTCTTCAGTACTATTTCTTCTTTTTATTTAGCTCTATCGTTTCAGTTATTTGTAAATGAATTTGACAAATTCCGTTTTTAAGAGCATTTCTCCGATTCTGTTTAGTTTTTTGCTGAGTGCCCTCCATGTAAACTCTTCTGGTTCTCAACAATACGGAATGTAGTAAGTTTATCTTTTTTCGTAGTGAAATCCAAATCTAGAAGTTCGTACGCCGTCCGTCTCATGCCGTTCTTCCATACACTGGTCTTTGCAGAGACTAATCCGGTTTCCTTTTCATAAAAACATCGAAGTGAAATTCTGTGCTCAACTCTGACTTCATTGTGAGCGTAACTTTCTGGTGGTACATGTGAAATTCTGTTGAGATCTCAACTCTCGTCACAGATAATGAAGATATCACCTATATATATATATATATATATATATATATATATATATATATATATATATATATATATATATATATATATATATATATATATATATATATATTATTTTACTTCCACAGATACCATTGTTTTTGGAAAAAGAATGACTTCATTAAATGTCGCCTCACTTTAAAAAAAATATTCCTCTTATACATGGACGATTTGTTCACTGTGAATAAATTGCAAATGATAATATTGGGATTCCAAAATAATATCTAAAGAAATCGCTGTTACACTACACTATGAATGTACAATTCCGATTTCATAATGAGTTATACAGATATATATATATAGGTGATATTTTTTTTAAAGTGAGGCGACATTTAATGAAGTCATTCTTTTTCCAAAAACAATGGTATCTGTGGAAGTAAAATAATTGTTGGCGCTATGTTTATTGATCTGATTTCCAGCTATTTAAGGAATTTGCACAATTCAGTTGGCAGTTGCATTGGATAGGGTGTTATTTGTATTCATTATAGAACAAAGAGAAACATTTTTCTTGTGTAATTTTGGCAGTCCATACAGACGTGAAATCGTAGAACTAATAATAAATCATCGATGATGATTAATTAACCTTTATTAGAATTTTCCTACATTTGTTCTATTCGGTAGGCTACATCCTTTTTTGTCGTTTCCCTGGAAAACTTGCATGCATCCGTTATGACGAATAATTTTATTGCAATACATGAGGAGGATTTTAGTACGTTTATGTAATTCAAGCAACACTAAATCCCAATTCTTTAAAACAGAAGTTATTTGAGATCTGCTTTCTCCTTGACAGGAGTCATGTTGTGGCATATTTTGCCCTTATCTGTTACTTATCGGGTGTATATGAGTGCTTGATTCGGTCTGTTTTCGACATTTGATAACAGCGTCCCTTCACGGTATTATGAGCACATTGTTAGGATTTATCTCGTTTGCCCTTACATACGTCATTGAGTCCGGGTGTATGATCAATCTTTCATCAACCTCGTCCCTAGTTAATACATTTGTGCTCTAAGCTACGATTTCACGACTCCATCTTCAATACGGTAAATGAGATTATTGTTAGTCTTCTTCCCTGCCCAATAACTGGAGTAAAACGTCCTGTTACTGCATAGAGGTTTTATTGGTCAAAATTCAGTCGAATTCAAAATAAATTTAAGACAATCTGTTATACATTGGTTACGATGACTATAGTTTCTGAATTGAGTTTTCAATGTGAGTAAATCATAGTGAAAAATGCAATTGAAAGTTCATTAACAGAATTCAAATTGAATAAATTAATGTAAATAAAATTCATATTAGGTATATATTAATTTTATTCTAAGTTGCATTTAGGAATTTCACATCCATAACAGATTCCCACACGAATAGCTGTGATAAGATGAAAATAATAATCTTCGCTTACAATTATATTCTAAATTTAACGTTTACGTGTAGACAGATGCTACATTTGTAAGAAATTTCACGACATCAACAACTATTATTTTGAGGCCTGAAATTTTCAAAGCGCCTATTTTTTATGCAAAAAAAACTTATTAGATTTTCATCATCATGAAAAACAAACAATTCGACTTCAATGTGAATTACATGACATGGTAGAGGACTAAACTAATGAAATGGAATAAGCTGACAGTTTCTAAATTCTTGTTTTAAGTATTCTAGAGGAAAAACAATTATGAAGTGCTTTTGCACGAGATTTTATTAATTTCCGAGATAAAAAAAGCAATTTATTTATATACAATGAAATAAAGTTGTTCACAAAAAGTCCTAGTCCATGAATTGATGTTACTCGGAACAAGCTACTTAATATTATTAAGTAGCCATACAACTTATCCTGTGCAAAAAATGCCTTCGGTTAACTATGACTTGCAAGTATGTCATTGAAGTAGATCATATTGGTCTGGATTTCCTTACATCCGACTGAATTACCGCATACTTTACAAGTGACCGGGTGATATTCCTTCATGACATTCCGGTTTGATTCCAAATTGTTCTCTGGAGATTTTTTCGCAATATGTGGTTTTGATATCGTTCGAGATATGATTTGAGTTTCGTCCACAACACAATTGATAGGATATTCTGTATAATACTGTGTCTTGAAATGTGGGTGCCTAAAATTAGAAAACCATACATAGTTTAAAATTAATTTATTCCTAAATGTTGCTAATCAAGGACAAAATTTTAGAGTATTAATATAAAAGGACTCATCACGCTTTAATATTATTCTAGTATGTCAAATTATAATGAGATATGTTTAACCATATTCTTTATCATATTGATGCGATTCAAGTCGCTTAATCCGCTTAGCCTACCACGAAGATGTAAGGAGACGGTGAGTTATAAACCAGAAGTACCCAAAGATTCATTGTTAGGCACCAAATCATCGTGAAAATGATTGACAGAGTAAATGTGAATGAAGGCATGAATGTGAAAGACTATAAATGAACGGAATAATACATACAAAGTCGCACTTTTTCGCGGACACTTCAATAATTAGTTGTTTGAAAACCCATAAAGGATTAATACTTTCCCACTGATTATTTAAAGTTATGACAAAACATGTGGTATTATTCAAGCCAGTAGTGTATTTAAGTAGCTGAAATCCTTTATCCTGTATGCACAATTTCTAGTTAGGGTTTAGTAATACGGTGGATACCTACATATCTAAAATCAAAACCAGACATCTACCTACACAAGTATATCGTTGGTTAACCACATGAGGTTTAATGTATATTTCGGTTATTCCCAGTCGTTACAAGATACCTAATAGCACAGAACTATAACACGTATTTCGTCTCAAATAAAGCGAAACTTACCTATGACTAACTAGAGATAACACAGACATACATCCAGGACAGTTAAGGATGGCATCAGATTTCTCGCTCTTCCCTCCAGGGAGATTTTCTTGCACCCATTTAGCATTAGCTTCATCTTCTTCATAATCGCAAAGTGGATCTTTATCTACTGGAAATTCATCTTTATGTGTTGAAAACAAATCATTAATAAGCAGTAAAACATACCATCACTGTCATGATCCTTTTTAAATCTTACTCTGAGATTTTTATTTTGCTTTTTTTCTGTTTTCAAATCCGTTGCTTTTTGGTGAACGCTTCTGATCAATAAATCAAGTTCTTTGTTCATTAATTCATCAAACTCCATAGCTTTAGCTTTTGAGATCTCAATCGCATTGACACTTCTGTTGTCATAACTCAAATCACTTTAACGAAATAACAGGACACAAATGATGATTGATGGTCATAAATTACCTGGATGAACTACTGTCGGACTCACAACCATCATAATCTGAGGAGAACATTTGGCTGTAATAAAAAGAAACACCAAATAAATTAAATGGTAAGTACGGTCAGATACCAATCGAAACTTGACATTTAAAACAACTCGAAATAATCTGAAGGATTGTTTGGGCGAAAGCATGAAATAAAATGTCACTTTCGAAACTAAAAACAAAAAATGCCTCAGCAGTATTTACAGTTACAGATGGGTGCAACTAATAATGCAAATCCAACAACACTATTTAAACAAACTTTTCACTGTAGGTACCAATTTCAAGGTTGAATTTAACAGTTTCAAATAAATTGATCATTGGATAGAAAGTTAGTGGAAAACATATTTTTTGTTATAACCCAATGAGCAGAAAATTGTATTTCCGACGTTTCGCGACTTCATGTAAGCCATATCTTCAGAGCAAATAAATAACCGAATAAAATTAACACAGGTTTAAATAGTAAAAAGGAAACGATGAGGAATATTTTTAGTACAATCAAAATCATAATAGTTCTGAATATGTCAATGAATTTCTCACAGTATACCTATCCAGTACAATGTACTAGTAATATTGTAGGATGTATATCCGCACATGACTTAGTCAAAAAGTTTACCCTATTGCAATCGACCCTCAAAGTTTTTTACTACAAATTACAACGTATGGATGTCAAATTTTATCTTCCTAGGTCATACATTACACTCATACATTTACCGATACTTATACAGATTATACTGTTTTTGTATGAGTAGTTTGGCTTCCATCTCACTGAGATGAATTATTTAAAAGCTTCTGATTCTGTATTTACCGTAAAATTCAGATTTTCTGTGGAACATGGTACTTAAGAAGTTTCTAATTAACGTTTCGCATTATCCTTAATCAAATATTTTCATGGTGGCTGGCTTCTGTGTATCTCCAAACCATATAGCTTTTACGTCATATCAATTAAACAAACAAATTCAGTTTAATCATTAAGATGGTATTCAATTGACACAATGGATAATGATATTAGAATGACTTCCCGATAAACCGTCTCTCAAATTTGTATAGAAAATCAAACTACACACTGTTATACCCAAAAAAGAAAGCTATTGATCAATTTATTTGATTTCATATCCCTAAATTATGAGCATCCAAGGCAATATAATAAAAGTTATATATATTTCACTATATGTGTTCCACTATAAAACAGTAGAGTATACTTTTGTCATGAACGAACTAACTAAACGAATAAGTGGCGAGACTCTAATTTAGGGACGACCTTTGAACGAATCTTAAATGACCTTGACAATTATTAGCCAATCAGGAGACAGTAACCCTAATCTTAAACCTAACCCCTAATCGTATGGACGAGTTTCTATACCATATGCATTATGAATTCAGAACTTTCGAGCCTTTATCAAACCTTAACAAGTTTTTAAATCAGGTAAAAGAAGAATATCTACTGTAATTCATTACTTTCTTGTAATATATTTTTACTTTATATTGTCTCCTGATTGTCTAATAATTGAAATTGCTCAAACGCTTCTGATTGGCTCGTCCCTAAATTAGAGTCTCGCCGTCCCATCTGTTGTAACCTCTCATTAATCACCTACTCTCTAAAATCCGCTGTGAACCGATCGTATGTTAGCATCGCGTGTTGAACTTGGCTCCATGACGTTGAAATCGCTCAAACGCTTCTGATTGGCTCGTCCCTAAATTAGAGTCTCGCCGAATAAGTCATTGTAAAAAATATCTAAACATGAAAGGTATCGAACACGTTCTGTTATTTAGCCTACCTACATTAGGTTAATCGACCTACAAAAATAAAGTTTGACCTTATTATTGACACAATCAAGAGGATAGGCAATAACTCAGCTTTTTCGGAGAATTTATACGTGGTTGTTATAGCCGTAGACACACTATTATTTTTATATTTACATGAAACATGGATAACATTTTTAATGCTTCCTAATAATAACAAGGAGTCAGACGAACATACTTATTTTTCAGAACGATTTGTAACGCAAACTAAACTGAACAAAAGCACCATTGATACCCAGCCAACTCTACGCATACACGCATGAAACGGAAGTATAAAATTTGTCAATATGTTCCTAACCGCAGCCATTGATCGAAATCACTAGGGTCGCACAAGAAAAAAAAGAAGTTACAGATGTCGTTTCAGCAGAATTTAAGAACATGAAAGATAAGTCCAGATTGGAATCGCTAAATGCATTTCCTGATACATGAAATCGGTAAGATTATGGTCGGAACGAGACCACTATTTATGGGCGAACCAATCAGATATAAGATCTGGTGCGAAATTCAGTCATATATTTGGTTAAATAGCGTTTTTAGAATTTAGATGGTGTCATTTTGTGACAAAAACCTTAAGTCTAATTCCTCACTATGGTTCATGACTCTTATTTAGTCCTATACAGTAGGTGGACATGATCAAGGTCACTTTCTCATCGCTCAAAGGTCACCCATAAATTATAGTCTCACCACGGTCGGTCAGGATGCGATATCGAGGCCCGAAAAGAGTACAAATGACAATCACATGTGTTACCATCTAAATGGCCAAGTAACAGTTTGGAAGGAAATTGAGTTCTACAAATTGATAAATACGGAAGCATATTTGAAAGATATCGTCGGAGAATTACACCCTGTTCTAAATTATGGATTATAAATAGAAATAAATAAATCGAAAATAAATTGGATTGGGTTGCTACATGTGTTAAAAACCTAGCTACAGGAAATACAGTCTGCGAAATTTCAGAGAACATGTGCATTTACAGATTTAAGAACCACTTAAGAGGGGGAAAAATAGAAACCTCAGAGGTTTATTACCACAAATCTCGATTTCAAAGGTAGCGAAAAGTCTTGGACTTGCTTAATTCTTAAAATGATGGTGAGAGGAAGAGATATAAATAACTTCCAAAATATATAGAATTTCAGCATAATTTACGAATTTTCGACAAAAGGTTCTTGGGGTCTAAAAACAAGGGACCATATCTGTCGTTTTTTATCGATATGGCTACCGAAATTCCTCTTATCCTAACCGTACTATTATTCACAACTCCTAACACTAGTCTATGATAAATCTTACCCTAATCTCTAACTCTCAATACTTTCGATTACGCCTAATAATTCACAAGATATGTCAAACTTTATTTTTACAGTGCAATTTTCCAGCCTCGGTGCTTAAAACTTTGCTGTAACCAAGTGTCAATTTTTAAGGGTCTAAAAACTACGATTGGTGACACAGTATGATTTAGTGGTGGAGAATAGTTCTGTACCATCTACAACCATTTGAAAACGGAATATAACAGGAAAACTTTAAAACTAAATCTTATTTGACATCTCAATGACGATTCAGTATTTTCTACAGAGTTATAAAACACGTTACTTACCAACTCTGTCAGATGAAAACTCAGATTAAAGTGTGCAGTGTTCTAAGTTGCAAACAATGAGTATGTTGTCATGAACTTAAACAATTTCATCTCATAACAACTCAGAAACCACAAAGTCAAGGATAACAAGATGAAACAGAAAAACCAATAAGCGAGTTCACCAACAGTAACGTAGTCTACAAACGCTGCGCTTTTATCTACATCTCATAGTGTTATATACAACAAGACAATCAAATTGTCTTTTATCCTACCACAAAATCGATGTGACCATGTTTGTCCTCCAGAATTTTGAGAATGGACAAAACTTAAGAATATATTTCAAATATATAACATATTTTTGAGTCAAACAATATAGCCGAGTGTCCCCTCAAAAAAAGATACTGATCCTCAGCACGAACTGTTGTTGACAATCCTGAAACCAAAAACAAAACAGATAAAAACACGTCAGGAAATCCTACCGTGTGGAATCTCTGCAATAAGAGGTCGTTCAATCGTGTCGAAAATTTATTGTCTCCAATGTACTGTACAAGTTATCCTACCCAGCTGTTTGATCAATCTTCACATTCTTATTAGAACGATTTCGGTGGTCTTTTAGGAATTAACGAATGAGAAAATGGGCATGTTCTCGTGTTAGCCGCCAAATATCTAACATAACACGGTAGACCTCATGATTCTTGCTTCAACCACGTCCGCCTTGATTTGGTTTTACCCTTAACAGAACCAAATCAATACTCTTATCTCTGGACTTATGTGTACCGTTTTAAACGGCAATCAGAAGCCATATATATGAAAAATGTTTCCGAATATGTGATCTATAAGTTTGTCGAACGACAATTTTCAAACTACGATCGCTCTTCGGCCATTACTACATACCGCAGACGCCAGCTCTGAACTAAATCCTTCCGCTCATTCACTAAATTCTTAGGTATCACACAGTTTCGGAAGACTTTCTCCCAACTACAAGCTAGTGTTTTGACAGAAAGATTCCATCAACAGTCAAAAACTTCACTAATTTCGTGAGTAAGTTACTGTCACTGTCCTATGGTATACAGCGGAGTGGTTCTTCGGGTTCAAATGAATTGATTTGTGTATATTTGAAAAGGAGATTCTATCTTAGTTAATATCAGTATAACTAAAGAGGCATAGGGATCCTCAACAACTTGAGTTTGGTGGTTAAGAGAAGGTTGAAAACATCTAGGTGATGTCAAAACATTGTGGCTCAAGTACTTATTCACTTTCTTATTTTGCGTAGCCACTATGTTTCTTAATATTCTATGTTAAATGTTAGAGGGTTCGTGTGCTTAGATTAGAACCATGAGCTCCAAATATTCTGTTCCAGAATCTAAATAATAAACTACCGCAATCCCTAGTCTGGCTTTTTCCACATGTTAAACAAGTGGTAGAGCTATGATGCATATTTTCGCCAACAGTTTAAAGCCTTAAACACTGTGTGTATTTAATGTCATTGTCGTATGCGTGCCTATTTACATGCGTAAGGATTCCAATTGGCGACCGGCGTCTGTGGGCACGAAACGATCATCGCGAACCGCGATCGTTCACCCAGGTTTTCATGTACTTTCAGGTCGGGGACCTTGGTGCTTGTTGGTTGAAGCGCGTTTCCGATTCCTTTGCTTTTTGCTGACTGGTTGGACAGAATGAGGAGTGGGTTGTACGGTCCAATCACCAGTTTATTTCACTCAATACCTGAGATGTTCTGCTTCTTGGACGGTGAAACCCCGTCCCTTTCAAATATGTTGAAGGAGGTCCAGTCACCTGTACAGTTTTTGGAGACCACCGTTGCCTTAAAGGAACCATTGCTGGAAGACCCAAGTTTGCCAAAGAAGTCTAGTACCGTCGATGATATGATGGCGATGAGGTACGGCATATCCTCACTAGTGTTATTACATGCCCCATCGATACTAACGTTGTCGAGGTTCCATTTTTTTCTTCACTATGCGCTTTCTTTTTACCCAACTTAGGACCACCTTTTTTCAGGTTTGCTGACAGCTTCTTTCCGCAAACCTGTCAAGAGAATAATGATGCAGCTCAGCATTCATGCTGCACGTGCCACCAACCCATCTACGATCCGACTTACTAAGTCTGTTGTAAGTAGTTACTGTAAGATCTGTACATGCTCCGTGGAATCAACCTTTGCATTTGTCACACTGAATGCCAGAGGTGACGGCAAAACGGCATACAGATCACTTTTACCAATTCTTCATGATTATGTTGATGGGAACTATTTAATAGGTATTAGAAAAAGTCCACGACCAAAAAACAAAAAGTATACTCAAAATGGATTAAGTGTATAGAAACGGGTGGTATAAAAAGTTAGGATAAATTAAAACTGACCTTGACGTGAAAAACCGAAAAGCTGAACATTAAGTTGAGACTGAAGCACAGTTAACAATTAACTTGAGTCAAATTCAGAAAGAAAATAATCTAACGAACGCAAAGCTCAGTACAGATTCTTTGGATAGAGATGGCAATTTTGTTGCGTAAGGACACAGCGAAAGTTTGAGCAATGGAAGTCACGTTAGCACTAGACTTCTCGTCCGTAAAGTACACGTACTAGTCAAGTCGGCAACTCGTTGCAGAAACAGAAAACGCCATTGCACGTAGACTGCCTATTTGCAGAGGAAGAATTCCTGGTTGACAACATTTCACTCCTGGCTCCCCTGGGAAAAAGCGATCACTAAATCATAGCCTTACATTTTATCAACAAAACTGAGTTAAGACATCCTACCAACAGCAGGCACTGGGATGCTTATCCTGTCATTCAGCCTCTCGACAAGACAAACCCTAAGTCTTTCATTTGCTAGGTTCTAATGGCCCAGTTAGCAACAACGGTAATGCCGCTGACCATCTAGTAGAACAATACCCTCAAATACTTCTACCAACCCACACCAACTATATCAATGAAAGCCTCACCTGTAACTCCCCAGAACTTTCATAAGTAAACCGGAGCGCTGACTTTATGTACCAGATGTACTTGATGTACTAAAACAGACAGTTCTCTTGACCAGAATATGATCCATTTCGTTTCACAGAGTGAAACAGCTTCAATCCTGGTAACGCCACCTGGTGTGGTGTTCTTACATTCGCTGAACTGAGGTACATTACCGGAAATTCGGAAGCCGGCTTACGTCACGCCAATTTCGGAAAGAGGTCAACGCAGCGAACCTTCAAGCTACCAACCAATAGCACTTCTTTCTGTACTCTTAAAAATTATGGAGTCCCTGACATGCGACGGTCTGCACGACTACTTACTACCTATAAACTTATTTTCACAACATCAGAACGGTTTCAGGAAGGGTCATTCTCGTATAATTAGCCTGCTGATTGCAGTGGACAGATGGTCAATCATCCTTATCAACAAGCTCAAGTGACTAGGTATCAAATCAAGTTCGACTAAAGGCCTGCTTCATATCGAACGAATTGACATTTTAAGGTCAGGGTTAACTTCAATATCTCTGAAGACATAGGATGTCTGAGAAGGGTTCCACAGTGTTCAGTACTAGGACCACGTCTTTTTTATTTGTATAAATGATCTTGCACAGCAGGTATCGTCTGACGTATTACTTTTCGCTGGTGATGTGAAACTTCGGAGAGAGGTATGCAACCAAGAGGATAAAGTGACATTTCAGGATGATCTGACTCGACCTCAAAGTTGGGCAGATGGCAACGAACTTAACTTTAACACTTCAAGATGTAAATCAGTACATCTGAGGCATGTTGCACAGTACGGCTACAACTTAGGCAACTCCCCTCTAAAAGTATCCCAAGTTGGAAAAGATTTAGGAGTGTTGGTGCCCTACTATTAGGAGCCTTACGCTAACCGAGACAAAAATACCTTTCGACGAAAAAACTTTCTAAATAATCTCCATTTAGATTACGGAAACAAAACATTTCTTCTTTCATTCCAAGAGGATAAATACACTGTGAAGCGTATCCATCGGACAGCCACGAAATTTATGTCTTATAAAAGCGCCTCCAATTGCTGAGCTTTTACCGATTAAAATACAGATGTCTTTGAAGTAATTCGTTAATGACTTACAGAATTCCAAACCCTTCTATGCATCTATTTAAACACCTATTTAAGTTTAGTCCGAACACAAATCTAAGGGGAAACACCTAGAAACTGGAGATACAACACGGCAGAACGGACAGTATACACACCTACTTCTTAAGAGCAGCCAAATACTGGAATTCGCCTACGGTTGAGCTAGTTCAAGAGCCTTACCAGGAGTCCTTCAACAGAAAGCTAGACATATTTTTAAGGTCTAAGGATAGTATCTAACTATGATTTACCAACTTTTTTTCCTGTTTTACCGTTAATATACCTGATTTTCTCCCTGGAGGAATCGGTGATCCACTGCCACTGGGTACTGAAGCCCATCACTGAAAGCTTCTTTTATTCCGTTTAGAACCCCCTGAACCACTTGAACCTTCCAAATTGCTGCAGAAATGAGGAGATACAACCTAGAGGTACTTGGGATCAGTGAAACACATTGGACGAAAGTTGGACAACAACGACTAACTTCAGGAGAGCTTCTGTTATACTCCGGCCATGAGTAAGTAAATGCCCCACATACGCAAGGAGTTGCATTGATACTGTCAAAACAAGCGCAAAATGCGCTTATAGGATGGGAATCTCACGGACAAAGGATCACCGAAGCTTCCTTTAAAACAAAGAAAGAGTGCATTTCAATGAACATCATCCAATGCTATGCGTCTACCAACGATTACAATGAAGACGCTAAAGATCAATTCTACAATAGGCTGCAGTCAATCATCGAGAAGTGCCCAACAAAGGACCTGACCATTCTGATGGGAGACTTCAATACCAAGGTTGGAACGGACAACACTGGATATGAAGACATCATGAGACGACAAGGACTGGAAGGAAGGAACGAAAATGGTGAGAGATTCGCAAACCTATGTGCCTTCAATAAACTGGTCATAGGCGGCACCATATTCCCACACAAACGCGTACATAAAACCACATGGACTTCATCGGATCACATCACGCAAAAACAAATCGACCATATTTGCATCAACAAAACGTTCAGGAGGACTATAGAGGACGTGAGAACCAAGAGAGGAGCCGATATAGCATCAGATCATCACTTGCTGGTCGCCAAGATGAAATTGAAACTCAAGAAGCACTGGGCAACGGGGCGGACAATATCACAAAAGTTCAATACGGCCTTTCTTCAGGATACTAACAAACTCAACAAATTCAAGATAAGCCTCAGTAATAAGTTCCAGGCCTTTCATGATCTACTAAATGGTGAAGAAACTAATATGGAGAGCAACTGGAAGGGGATCAAAGAGGTAATCACTTCAACATGTCATGAAGTCCTGGGTCACAAGAAGCGCCATCACAAGGAATGGATCACTGTTGATACACTGGATAAGATTCAAGAAAGGAGAAACAAGAAGGTAGCAATCAATACCAGTCGAACAAGAGCAGCAAAAGCCAAGGCACAAGCTGAATACACAGTAGTAAACAAACAAGTGAAGAAGAGCATCAGAACCGAGAAACGTAAATATGTGGAAGATCTAGCAAAGACGGCGGAAAAGGCTGTAAGAGAAGGAAACATGAGACAACTGTATGACATAACAAAGAAACTCTCTGGAAATCGTCGCAAAACAGAACGACCATTGACAAGCAAGGAAGGCGAGGTAATCACCAACATTGAAGAGCAACAAAACAGGTGGGTAGAACACTTCAAAGAACTCTTGAATCGACCAGCTCCACTGAACCCACCCAACATCGAAGCAGCACCCACGGACCTCCCAATCAATGTTGGCCCACCGACAATTGAAGAAATCAGCATGGCCATCAGACAAATCGAGAGTGGCAAAGCAGCACGACCAGACAACATTCCAGCAGAGACACTAAAAGAAGACGTAGCGGCAACTGCAAGGATACTCCACATTCTCTTCAGCAAGATTTGGGATGAGGAACAAGTACCAACAGACTAGAAAGAAGGACTTCTGATCACAATACCAAATAAAGGCGATCTCAGCAACTGTGATAATTACAGGGGCATCACTCTTCTCTCAATTTCAGGAAAAATCTTCAACAGAGTATTGTTAAACAGAATGAAGGATTGCGTAGACGCCCAATTTTGTGACCAACAGGCAGGATTCCGTAAGGATAGATCGTGTACAGTCCAAATCGCAGCTCTACGGATCATTGTGGATTAATCACTTAGATGGAATTCATCACTCTACATCAACTTCATTGACTACGAAAAAGCATTTGATAGCGTGGAAAGGACAACACTATGGAAGCTTCTTTGACACTACGGCGTGCCTCAGAAGATAGTCAATATAATACTAAATTCATATGATCGATTAAACTGCAAAATTGTTCATGGAGGACAGTTGAAAAAGTCGTTCGAAGTGAAGACCGGTGTCAGGCAAGGTTGCTTACTCTCACCCTTTCTCTTTCTCCTGGTGATCGACTGGATCATGAAGACGTCAACATCTGAAGGGAAACACGGGATACAATGGACATCTAGGATGCAATTGGACGATCTAGACTTTTCAGATGATCTGGCCCTCCTATCCCAAACGCAACATTAAACGCAGTAGAGGACGACCAGTGTAGCAGCAGTAGGTCTCAACACACATAAAGGGAAAAACAAGATTGTCCGATACAACACAGCATGCACCAATCCAATCACAATCGACGGAGAAGATTTGGAAGATGTAAAAACCTTTACATATCTGGGCAGTATCATTGATGAACATGGTGGATCTGATGCAGATGTGAAGGCGCGGATCGGCAAAGCAAGAGCAGCATATTTACAACTGAGAAACGTCTAGAACTCAAAGCAACTGTCAACCAACACCAAGGTCAGGATTTTCAATACAAATGTCAAGACAGTTCTACTGTATGGGGCGGAAACCTGGAGAACTACGAAAGCAATCATCCAGAAAATACAGGTGTTTATTAACAGTTGTCTACGTAAAACACTTCGGATCCGTTGGCCGGACACTATTAGCAACAACGTACTGTGGGAGAGAACAAATCAGATCCCAGCGAGGGAAGAAGCGCTGGAAGTGAATAGGACACACATTGAGGAAAGCACCTAACTGCGTCACAAGACAAGTCCTCACATTGAATCCTCAAGGCCAAAGGAAAAGAGGAAGACCAAAGAACACATTATGCCGACAAGTGGAAATAAACATGAGAAAAATGAACAAGAATTGGATGGAACTAGAAAAGAAGGCCCAGGACAGCGTGGGTTGGAGAATGCTGGTCGCGGCCTATGCTCCATTGGGAGTAACAGGCAGAAGTTCGTAAGTAAGTATTCGTAAATGCTCATCTTATCGCCTTATTTATTTTTACACCTTTATGACCTTTAATTATTATGACAAAAACATTTTAATCATCTTATTATATTCACTAAATTTATTGTAATTATTCATATTACGTAATCTAGTATTATTTTATTACGTCATGGTTAACTATGTTCTCACGGAATTAGTGCTTTTACAAAAACAAAATTTTCATATATATATATATATATATATATATATATACGATCGTACAGCTTGATAATAAATTCGTTGAAAAGAGATCCCTTCTCTGAACTTCGTGTTTTAATTTTAATGGACTTACCTATCTGAAGGCGCTCGGGCATGCATCCTCGCCAGATCATGAGTTGGTTCTCCATGCTTCACTTCACCTACAACTGCTAGCCAGCTTGGATTGATCATTTCTGAATATACTGATATTCTATTAAATATACCTTTGAATCTCTTCGCTTCTGACTTCCGATTTCACTGGGTTGGGACATTCTATTTATAAAATTATTACTGATTAACGTGTTGTCAAATTCTGAATACTTGTGACATCTTTAAGAGTATCGATGTGTGAGTCTCAAGTATTGATGGATCTATATAGTAATAGAATACGATCGACAGGCATACAAATAGATAAATAGACTACCAAATAAACGGCCATTACAAGGATTCTCATGAAAAGAGACTCGAATTAATCACGCAGCTAAGCATTGCACCACTGCACTTGACACCCACAGTCATACTCCGAACCAAATGTACGGTTACGTTCATCTAACATATCTGTTTTAAATAACGTACTTCTTATTTAACTTAGAGCCTGCTCAGTGGTCTAGTACTTAAGCACAGGGGGGCAATACTGATGGGTCCTGGGTTCGAATCTCGCAAAACGAGGTTGTGGATGCGCACTGCTGAGGAGTCCCACAATAAAAAGAAACGTCCGTCCAGTGCTTCCGGGTTTTCCATGGTGGTCTAGCTTCAATTCACTCATGACCTCGACTACTGAACTTACAATAATGTCCACAAGAACCCTCCTCTGATCAGAGCGTAAGTGTTTTGGTCATTTTAATATTGAAGCCTGTCACGTCAGATTCCCTTCATTTTGAGAATCTATGTTGAACAACATTAAGGATTAACTTAGGTTATGTGGTATTATTCACAGTACATATCGTGTGGTTACCTTTAACCACAGTTTCCTGAAGCGTTTGCAAGCCATTTCAACGGGGTATTCGGACTTGACTTCTCAATCTACTGAGAACTCTGCTGGGACGATTTCTTACATATTCACTCTCTACGCCTGAATGTCTGACCATAATGGACACATGGTTGATAATCGCCATATTGAAGTCGAAATTGACACTATATTATCACTCTTACCAACTTGTGCATTTGAGATCTGACATATCTCTCTTATATTAGCTTAATATAAGATCCTTCAGCTACGCTTATAAGTCTGAGTCGTAGTTCCTTCGATCTTTGACATGATGAGTAATGCAGTTGTTATATTGTGAAACTCCAGTCATAAGACGGCAAAAGTGCTGTGCCATCTCAACCAAAAGGTGCGCGTAGTCTAATATTCGCGTTACGTCATCGACGTGTGAAGGTGTGTTTCACACGTAATTTTGAGCGGTAATGTATCATTTGTACATGAAAAACAGCCACTTCTCAAACAGAAGTGACATAATCCAAGTTGTCAATTTACTTTGATCTAAAATTCATTACTTTGTAACCTTATTGTTGTTATTCTCAACGACGTTTGTACATCATAAAATGTCGAGTGAAAATTCAGACTAGGTGGTTTCAAGCAATAAATAGACACAGTTTTTGGAACTTCTGGTCTCCTCGTGTTTCGCACTTGTTTTTAGTTATTGGTATGAATACATAGAAATATCACAAAAGTGTAAAACGATTTATTTATAATTAGGGTGATTATTGTAAAGGGATTAGCAATTAATTATCCAGCAAATTTGCTTCTATGGATTGTCGGCATCAGGCAATCTATGTCTTATATTTGTCATGAACTTAAAGTCTGAACGGATGTGTTGGCATGTTATCATAACTACCTTAGTACGACGAGATGAAATAAAAAGAGATCAATAATAAACGAAATCGAGACTAAGTAGTAGTGTTGTTAGTGGAGTGAAATAAACATCGAGAGTACTCAACAACAAAAAAACGGTGGAAACATGTAATAAAGACTACTGGGGTTCAACAGATTACTTAGCTGCATATAGTAAGGCGAGTTTAATGTGCATTGATTTGTGCCATCTCACTTCACGCGCACAAAACGTACGCCTTATAATTATAGTTGAAAGTCGACTCACCAGTTATTATGGATTTTCGACTTTGTTAAGCATCGAAAAGTCAGGAAGACAATAATTGGAGCAACATTATGAGCAAAATCAAGAAAGACGGATTTGTAAAAGCCAAAAGTCCAGGAAATACATTCACTAGCTTGTACTCAATAGTACGTAGTTTTATAAACGACATAGTTTGTTTGATAATAAGATGTAATATATCGCAGCATCATGTAGCTCTACCATCATACAAGTTATTATAGCAACCGAACTACTAATTCGTTATTCCAACCACTGTAAAGATCCTAATCAAGTCCCAACCTGACCGAATCTCACGTTATGGTGAAGGAACCTGATATACGGCAAATACGGTTACAGTATCGTCGTAAACATGTAAATTATGTTTTCTCACATATGCTTTCATTTCAGGTCTTGGCTTAAGCATATCTTGAAATACCAGCCTAAATTTGTTGTGTTAATGTTTCTCTTTACTTAGCTATTCGCCGATTAAGAATGCATCCTTTTATCGTACTTAAAAAAGTTATTTCGGGCTGTTTTCTTAAAACCCTGTCTCTGTATGCATCCGTATCTATATCTGTGGGTTTGACGCCTCATAAAGTTTCTTTATCCCTTTGGTTATAGAACTTTCTGTTGGGTCGTATATTGTCAGCTAGTCATTTTATGTGGATGTTGTAAAGAAAACGTTTCTAATGTTTTTGTGCGGTATTAAACATTTTATTTATTTATTTATTTAAAAGGCTGGTTCAAGGAGTATGGCTAGTGATCAAATATGCTATACTTTAGTCGGTTTGTCATCTGAAGCGAAAACATATACTGAGCAAAAACTCAAAGACGATTTGCAGAACAGCAATGATAATGTGAAAAGAGAGGCACTTAAGGAACTTATTCGGCTAATAATTAATGGCGAGAAGTTTCCCAATTTATTGATGACTGTGATTCGCTTTGTTATGCCGTCACAGGATCACATGATTAAAAAGCTGTTGCTTCTATTCTGGGAAGTTGTGCCTAAGTACAGTTCAGATGGAAAACTTCTACATGAAATGATACTAGTGTGTGATGCTTATCGCAAAGATTTACAACATCCTAATGAATTCATCCGTGGGTCAACTTTACGATTTCTGTGTAAATTAAAAGAACCTGAATTGCTAGAGCCTATTATGCCATCTATTCAACAGTGTCTGGAACATCGACATGCATATGTTCGACGAAATGCAGTGCTGGCAATTTTCACGATATACAAAAACTTTGAATCGCTTATTCCGGATGCTCCTGAAAAAATTCTAAGATTCCTCGAACAAGAGCAAGATTCTTCTTGCAAAAGGAATGCTTTTATGATGTTACTTCATGTCAGTCAGAGTACTGCTCTTGATTACCTTACTTCTTGTTTGGATGAAGTACAAAACTTCGGTGACATTCTTCAGCTCATAATTGTAGAGTTAATCTACAAAGTAAGTCCACACAAACATAGTTCTTTTTATTCTCTAGGTATGTCTTGCTAAACCTTCTGAAAGGCTACGGTTTATTCGTTGTATTTACAGCTTATTACAATCTAGTAGTGCTGCTGTGCGCTATGAAGCTGCAGGAACGCTGACAACACTAAGTTCCGCCCCGAGTGCCATTAAGGCAGCCGCAAGTTGTTACATTAACTTAATCCTGAAAGAAAGTGATAACAATGTAAAACTAATTGTATTGTCACGTCTCACTGATTTACGTCAGTATCATGAGCGTATTCTACAAGACCTAATTATGGATATCGTGCAGATCATAAGTAAGTTTGTTGTTTTTCTATCTGATATATTCTCTGCTTATTATAGATGCATCTGACATGGAAGTTCGTCAGAAAACACTTAATTTAACGATGGATCTAGTGACAGCTCGTACAGCGGAAGAATTGATTAAGATATTTCGCAAAGAACTTATCAAAGCTTGCAGCACGAATACCCGACCTTCAGCTTCAGCTAGTGATGGAGAAAAGTCTTCTGCAGATGATCACAATTCTGACGAATCCGTTTACCGTTTTTCACTAGTGCACACTATATATGATATTTGCTTACGGTTTCCAGAAGTATTACCAAGCATTGTACCGACAGTTTGTGAAGTAAGTATAATTTGACTGAATAAAATGGTTAGTTATTTTTTCCCAGTATGTTTTTATTTTTAGCAAAATTCAACTGCTTAAGTTTGACCATTCAGTTCATTTCGCCTTTTTATCCAAGATCAATGGATGCAACAACGCTACTGCGACTAGTTCTGAGCTTTGTCACATCAGTCAGTCAACATAGAACGTAGCAAAAACATGTATCGACCAAGTTATCACACCATTCATTCACTGTCCAACTATTGGCTGCCGTTATCTTCTAATTCGAGTTCATAAGATAATCAATGATGAATTAAAATGGCTCACAGATGTAAAAGTTTCGGCTTTATCACTGCAACTTTTTGGTGCATATCAGACAGTTAATCAGTCGGTCACAAACCTTGCAGAACCTAGCATAAGTGGTTATCAACCGAATCTCTAGCACCTCATGTTCAGACATGGGGATATAAACGAGATTTATGTATTTTTATGTAATTTATTGTTGGCGTTCAGATTGTTTCGAGACTTTTTTAAACTGAAATCCCGACTCGAAGAGCTATTAAGTGTTAAAATATGCACCTTATGCTACGTTAGATTTGTTTGTTTTCGTCTCCAATTTATTCTAGCAATGTGAATCTACTGTGACGTTATATGTATTTCTTCAGTTTGATGAAGTTTCTTATTCTCTTTGCATAATTCCTAGTTTAATTGTACTAGTTGCTAAATCATTGTCTGTCGACATGGAGTAATCACTGGTCGCTGGACATCAGTGTTTGGATTATTTAAATTACTTCTAGTTCGACTAAAAGAGATGCGTAGCGAATTAATACTTACGGAAATCGTCAAAGTCTACTAATCGGATCATGGATTACTTTTTATCAGTAAATAATTTCATACATTATTTTGTATAACCAGTTGAGTTTTGCTGCCTGATTTTTATGGGTGCAATGAACGAAGTTATCTAAATGCTGTAAGTTATTTGTTGTAGTACTTTAAGAGGCAGTGAAAACTATTAGTTTTATGAAAAATAAGTTTTTCTGAATAATAGACTTCTATGTTGTCCATGAAGTGTGTTCTATGGTTCCATTATGAGTGAACACAAACCGAAATCTTTCTAAATAACTTGTCAATGCATTAGTTTATTACATAAAAGTTTACTTGGTCTAACAACTGTTGTCTTTATTTGTAATTTTCAAGATTTTGACCTACGAAGAAATTGGCGATACACGAGCTGCGAATGAGGCTTGCAAATTTTTACGTGAAATTTTGGAGCGATTTCCTCAAAGAAAGGCTGACATTTTGGAAAAATTGATGCAAATTTTTCCATCGATTATCGGCCGTGAAACTCTTCGATATTTAGTGTGGATTTTTGGTGAATATTGTACAACTTATGAAGAAATTAACTCCTTTATGACTCTTATTCGCCAGGTAAGTTTGACTTGTTATAACGCTCTCAAATCATTTATTTTTTGGAACTCCAGTAACTCCTTTCATCACAGTATTATGCTCGTCGAAAGCAACTGTGAAAAAGTCAGTTGAGTTTTCGTGCCTTATTATGAATTGACATTCAGTATTATTTCCAGACTGCCGTGTTAGAAGGTTTATCATTAAAAGACCATGTGGATTAAATACTGATTTAAAGACGAATCTTGAAGTAATCTAAATAAGCGTTTTTAGAGTGCTAATCCAGCTTTCACTGTTTTTGTAAATCGTTGATCAGCGATTGTTACACTGGTACTTGATAAATGAGTTGCATTGAATTAAATATAATTGTGTCAGTATACTTTCTAATGGATTGTGTATACTGGAAAATCTTTTGATTGCTATCATACTTATCAACTGCGGTCTCTACGTACTCTATGACTGTTTCAATGTTTTTATATAAACGTTATGGAATTTTCTGCATATGATAGCAACACCCTTAATCTGTTGAAGTAAACAAATATACCTGGAAACATTTCAAAGAACTCACAGACACATAGCATTTTTTTATTCGGAACACTTTAAAAAGCTTTAAACGAGTTAAATAGTTTATCCTTGACACTAATTAAGTACAGATGACTTTTTTTACTAATCAGTGGATCGATAGCTAACCCAAAATCTTGTTTGTTTAACACTTGCATAAAGTAGTTAGTCTACCGATGTAGAGTAGTGATTTCCCAACTAGTGAAACGCTAAATGATTGTTTGGCTTTAAATAAAATATAAGAATCCAGTCACGCACCATAAAAGGACAGATAGTTCTGTTAAAGTTTACATCGTTAGTAACTGAATACAGTAGCATTTTGAAATAATGGAATCTGATTGTCTAGAAAAGATTGGGTATCGACGCTAGGTAGTATCTTTCAAAAGGTTATGCCGATTAAAAACAGTTTGTAATCTGTACATAGTTGGGATTAATTGTTATTGTTATTGAATGTGCAACTAAAAAGTCTCATGTGATTGTATGTAAATGTTTGACTGCCACATTTCGGGTCCTCACAACACAGCAATGCTATTCACTAGCTTGTAGAATTTATCTCTAGTTGCATTCCGCTTGCAATCATTGAAAACAGCCTAGTTGTAAGCTGCAAATGTTACCTATTTTCTTCCCAGTTACTTTTTTCCGTACAAAATTCTCTTGAAAATTTATATGAAGTATACGTTTTGAATTGACATATCAAGAACTTATTTGCAACACGGTGAAAAGTCTCAAGCCGACTTTATCACTAATACTGCTTTTTAGTTTAGTGACCGAAATCCGTTTGTTGTCCGATCCACCTTAGCATGTAAACTTTGTGAATGATAAATTTGCTTTGCATACACAGCTTCAGAAGGGGTAGCATTTTGGAAAAAACATTTATTCAGTATCTCAAGGGGATTCAGAATACTAATTATGTGGGATTAAATAAATGAGATTCATAGTCGAAATACAACAAACATGAGAAAGTGGAGCTATTAAACAAAATTTTACTAATAGAATATACACAACATACAGTGTGCTACGGTACTTCAAATGAAAAAAAAACGAAATCCTACTCATATGGCCCTTATGGAGTCAAACAAAGTCGGAAATTATTTGTTAGGTTTCAAGATGATAGAACAGAATCGGAACTGCTACTGAAACCATTACATCAGACAAATTGCTCCATTACAAAGACTATTCATATCACAGACCGCTGGGTCAAACTGCTAACACTCTAACATATGTAGCGAAATATTGACTACTCACTATCCTTGGAAGTTTTTCCTAATATTATTAGGCAGAAACACAACGAAAAGTCACGATCAAATTTTCGAGCTCGGATAAAAACTAAATAAATTAGAATTTATGGTATATATATATCATATGATCTCTAAATACATAGTTATTCCTACTAAATTCTTTATTCACTTTTTGGCTATCATTTTATCAAGGTTATTGGCGAGCTACCACTTGTTGATGAGGAGTTACGCAGACAAGCCAGTCAAATGAACTCAGTGGATTCGTATGCTGAAAACCAAAGTCAGCCGTCCGTACTAATTTCAGGTGATGTAAATGTTGGTGTCAGTCCAGCACAACGTGTTACTGCAGATGGGACATACGCAACTCAGTCTGCTTTTACTCTTCGTAGGCTACGTTAATAAATATATTTGCTTTTACAATATAATGTATTTAGATGTGTGTTTTCAAGTTTCAGACGTCATTGGCTGTAATAAAAACCCCGAATTTCAGAAATTTTTTATTTCGAAGTTTCGCTGAAGATGGTATTTGATATGTCATCGTCTGTCGTCAAAATTATCAGCTAAGTATTCACTTACTCAGCCAAGATTATCTTCGCCATGTTATTGTGTTCGTATTGGCTCAGATACCCAGAACACAAGAAGATACCGTGCGAAGTTGCGAGGAAAGAAAAACTACCAGATCCAATTGGTGTAACTGATACAGTACGGCTTCAACACAGTTGCTGTACATTAAAAATATATAACTAGACAAAAACATCAGTTTATATATATATATATATATATATATATATATATATATATATATATATATATATATATATATATATATATATATATATATGTTCACAACAAATACTTGTTTCTCCATCTGTTCGACTAGCAAAACTAAACAGCTTGTCCATCCTACAAAGGCCAACTAGATGATCATATTAGTTATATTAACAAGCGAATTTAGAGCACATTAAACAATACCTAATATTAGTATAGCTCATTTACCAAGAACCGGTTTATTAACTCGTTTTTTAAAAGCATTTTGTGTGCAAGGTGATAATACGTGGATCTTTGAATTGAAGTAGATGAAACGGTGTTAGAACTTCAACCAGACAGACATCAACATGGAGTCTGGCACAGACATGGGTTAGCTTAAGATACCATACCTCATTAGCAAGATAAGACGAAAATGACAAGATGAACGCATGACCTGTTTGTTGAATGCTGAGTTCTTTGATCATGAAACCACTGTTCCGAAATTAGGATTGCTCAGTCAGACAGAAGGCTACTTTGTGCTTATAATTTAAACGCTATGTTTACGAACTGGTGACATCATCTATTTTTTTCCGACATATTTATTTCTAGCCATAGCTGAAATTAAGCATAAGGCGTACAATACCTTGTAAGTAACCCTAAGATCTGCTATCATGTGTTTGGGCGTAGTGGATATCATGATTCAGTGAGTGTTCCACCTTGAAACACTAAGTTCAATGGTTTTAACATGTATAGTACATGTTGGTTCATCCCTAAAGAGCGTGTATTGTAATTTAATTTAACTGTAGGACATAAAGAATCTATCACACGTTTTGGCGTTTAATGTTTTACTCTAATGAACGCGTGTTTAAAAACGTTATCGTCGAATTGTTTAAAATATTTGTCCTATGCAACAGAAAATGCATTCATGTTAAAAGTGATTACCTACTGATTAGTTGTTCCCGTTTCCTTTCTAAAATTATTTAAGGTTCAAATAAAGATTCTAGCTCAGTGAATGCAATCAAACGACCTGTCCTACAAGCAGCTCTATTCGAATCACATTATATGCCTGGAGTTGTATTATCTGCCTGTTTAGTGAAATTATTTTATCGATATTCATTGCTTCTTAAACAAGAACAAATAAAAACTGTTAATGATGAATGCACAAACACTAAAATAATTTCAAAAGAAAATTCATTCGCTGCTGAATGCATGCTTATCATTGCGAGTATGATACATTTGGCTACTAGTCAACTACTGCCACATCAAGTGAATCCTGACCACTTAGATCGTATGTGGATTTGTCTAAAGGTGGGGTAATTTTTTATTTTACCAAGTTTTTGTTTTGATTTTTGTTTACTTGTCCTATTGATGCATGATGGTAAATCGTCTTACTTCTATAATGATTAATGTATAATATAATAGTGGTAGTTATAATTAGGCAAAATCGGTGACCGAAATTTCTCTTCTTATAAACGAATTGTTCGATTTTTACGTGACATTTATTTAGCGAACGTCAACCGTTACCATGAGATTCAAATTCAATTTGTACTACCTTTCAACTCTAATAATATCAAATAAATTATCTTTTCAAGATGAATACTTCTCTATGGTTTTAATGACCAACTTTGCTTTCATTGTTGATTTATTTACATGAACAGGCGGCTAGTATAACTCAGTACAGTCCTGACATTTAAAGCATTATATAGGCAATATAAAGTCACAATAAAATATTCTCTACTTGATTGTTTTATAGGGTGCTAGTAATACTGAAGTTTGATAACTCATTTTCTGAAAATTCTACATTTGGGTAGAAGCTAGGTGTGTTAAGTTAACTTCTCATAGTACTTCAAAACCCAGAATCTGTCCAGACAAATCACTGGACTTCTCGGACTAAATAAATGGCAAGGAGTAGTAGGAAGTGGATAACATATTTAGTGTTAGTTCTATGTCTTCTGGCGTAATCACGCCATTTTTGGCTTTACTTTTTCATTTGTACAGATCTTGGCTGATCGTCGTCCTGAAGTCTTAGAGGCTTTCGAACATACATCTCGTGGCTGTCTTACTGAAATGCTTGCATACCAAGAGTCGGAACGTAAAAACAATGCTAAAGCTCGTAATCAAGGCTTAATTGAGCATCAAAAACAATTGGCTGAGTTGAATCGTGCGGACGCGCCGATCAAATTCTCTCTACTTACTGGCCAAACTGAGTTCGGTGACACAGTAGATCGTTTTGACTTAACACTTAGTCAAGCGCTGGGTGCAGGTGGAAAAGGCAGTGCTGGTGATGCTTATGCTACATCTAAACTCAGTAAGGTAAGGTAAACAAATGTTATTTGTAAGAACATGGCTGTTTTTAGATACTCACATCTTGATATTATTGGAAATAGTAGATTTAATTAAGGCTCCTTCATTTCTACAATCTAAACAAATGCAGTCGCTCATTGGTTAAATCACTCTCTCTTTAACTACTAGATCCCATGTTCAAACCTTTCTACCCACTTTGGTGTGGATTGCTGGTTAATGTCACTAGTACTCACATAAAAGTGTATTTCAGGGTTACGTCCATGTATCTGTACTCGGTGGCCATGTTACAGAAGTTTTTAAAATACCTATAGTCCTACATAATTGTTTCCAAATCAACTTTTACTCCTATCAAGTGATCATATAAACCACGCTTCATGTGATGAATTTTTTTAATAATATCCAGGTCAGTCAGTAATAAGCAGTGCATAGCTTTGTAGGAATATGCGGGATATGCATATTAAATCACCTAAACAAAATGAGATCAATGAAATTAATAACTGCAGTCGAGATAATCGAATTAACCATAATAGTGAGAATGAATAAACATTGTAAGAAAAATAGAGAAAAATATATGTATGAGGGAATACTTCAACTGAAGATCCCAAAGAAGGTAAAGAGTAAACCCGTCTGCGCCACTGTGATTGATTGTGTACCATGCCACCCAGTATATTTTTCCAAGGCATCTCCTCACGATGCTCCACTGCCTTGTGGATCAGACCTTCAGGTCGAAGGCTCGGGGAGTGGCCCCCCAAGAAAACCACCTGCTTCGGTTTGGGCACCCGGGCAGTATCACAGCCCTCACACATGTCGAATGAGATTTGTGTGGCGCATATGTATTTGGTGCCTTGTACCAATATCTATGTGTTAAAATAAATTAATAATATTCTTCCAAGTGCTTACTACCTAGATTATAACCATTGATCATGTTGCTGTGATAGCTGATTTGAATCTCGCAAATGTTTTTCATTTGCAAGAAGATATTAGACATACAAGTTATTCAGCGTTCTATCCACTAAGTTCATTCGGTTACGAATTTGAAACCCTCTCTGTCTACTTCAGTTTGGACACCTGAATAATATTACTTGTTCACAAACACAAAATATGACTCAAGACCGATTTCATAAACCTTATATCTGATAGTTCAGCTATATAATGATAATGATTTTTTATTATTATTATTATTATTATTATTATTATTATTATTATTATTATTATTATTATTATTATTATTACTCTATGCTGTTATCAAATTTATACATTTCCTCAGTGAATCAGTTATTTTCTTTTCAAAATTTTTAAGGTTCACCAATTAACTGGCTTTTCTGATCCTGTATACGCAGAAGCGTATGTTCATGTGAATCAATTCGATATTTTGTTAGATGTATTAGTTGTTAATCAAACTAAAGATACACTGCAAAATTTAACATTAGAACTGTCTACATTAGGCGATTTACGTCTGGTTGAAAAACCCAGTCCATTAACAATTGCACCACAAGATTTTGCTAATATCAAAGCAAATATTAAGGTTAGTTTGTATTCTATACTATGTATAATTTTTATTAAATATTGTATTAAATATATCATAAAATTACTGGAAAATACAAGGATTTATCACAATGAATTTTTCTATCTTTCTGCTTTTTAACGGGTATCTAAAAAAAGAAACTTTTGGGTTTTAGTGATAAAAACCCATTAGTGAAATCAAAAAAAGCTTTATAGTAATATTATGACTTACAGTTATGTTTCGTAAGTTGTAGACGATCTCATTGTTGATTATATTACATATTTATCTATCCTATTACTTATTTATGATGTGCACAATTGAATATCGAATTCACTATCTTATTAATTTACATTTCAATCTAATTAAATTAATTGAATTTTATATATGTTTTCAGGTTTCTTCCACAGAAAATGGTATCATCTTTGGAAATATATCCTACGATGTTCGGGGATCATCTGGCGAAACAACTTGCATTGTGTTAAATGATATTCATATTGACATTATGGAGTACATTATGCCAGCCACTTGTACACCAAGTGAATTTCGTCAAATGTGGTCTGAATTTGAATGGGAGAATAAGGTGAGCATCAAACTCATAACAAAATGTTTGAACGTTGAATAAATGTACGAACAAAGTTATCACATCAACTTATTCTTTTGAGTCATATTCAATCGATTCATGTTATAGCTTGTTTCGTTTCATATAAATTTATGCTCAATTACTTATTTAGGCTCTTTTTGATCATTTTAGGTTACTGTGAATACACAAATCAAAGATCTGTTCACCTATTTGTCTCAAATTACAAGCCATACGAATTTACGTTGCCTAACACCTACCGAGGCTCTTTCGGGTGATTGTGATTATCTTTGCGTAACGCTTTATGCCAAGACAATATTTGGCGAACATGTTTTAGCTAATTTATGTTTGGAAAAAGCGGAAGCTGATCAACCTGTAACTGGTCATGTACGAATTCGAGCTAAAACACAGGGTATGGCTGTTACAATGGGAGAAAGAGTACGTTCAGTTTAACCCTTCTGATAATCAGTATCATGTACTTTAATGTGAGATGAATGTAGTTTAAAAGGAAACTATTCATTAGTATACGTGGATAAATCAAGTTTTATATTTTCTGTTTGTTTTGTTATATTTAAAGTGAGTGACTTGGTCAATGGTTACCAGTTTAATTCATATATCTCTGTCGTTTCCTCTTCGAATCCAAAAGAATATTAATTTTCTTGTCATATTCCTATATTGTATTATTTATTCGTAGGTAAGGAAATAAGACCATTGACAACCTCAATCATTAATCTGATTTACATGACTTTTACACTTCCAGGATCAGTTATTATTAGAATAATATGACTAATCCAGTTTGCTCATTCTATCAATAAAATTCATCATAAATTCGAATACTTATTTGTTTGTATAATATGCATAAATACTGGTACACACAGATAAATAAATGAAGTCCTAAACAGTTGAAAAAACCAATCAGAATATGTGAGCGACAATAGTATATAGTGGGACATATAATGTAACTAGAAATACCGGCGAAACTAATTTATGAACAAACCAGTCAGATTTGAGATGGCTGATCTTGGATTTCGACGCGAAATTCATTTACTCATTTGGCTAAATACCATTTTGTCATAATAGCTGATGTCAGTTCGTGATGAAAACATTAAATCTAATTTCTAACCCTAACGTTCAACTGTAAATCTTAATCTTAATTCCTCATACTAATACATGATCCTCATTTAACCCTATTAAGTAGGTGGACATTCCAAGGTCATTTCAGCGTTGCTCTAAGGTCGTCCATAAATTATCGTCTTACCGAAATACCATCTGAAACATTTCCTTCAGTTAAGCGAGTTCCTCTCATTTTTTCTAATGTAAAACAAAACCACAACAAAATTCCTACTTGCTTCTATTCGGAGCCATCCTTTAAATTTATAGAAAAACTAAGGATGTTGCTTAAATAAAATGACAAAGTTCATTGTCATCACTTACCACGTGTTAATTTGCAAGTTAAACTAGAAAACTTATCGTAAACCGAATCACTAATAAAGCACTATCTTTTCAACTTCTTCAAACTTTAAATAATCGCCTTTATGCATTGAATCCCACCTTTTGATTGGAGAATATGAATTGACTGGGATTCTTTAATTACATTTGGAAATATCGGTGCCTATTGTGATCCGAAGCGATGGGGGTGTATATCTTGTAACATAATTTATGTATAGCACTATTCTGACTGAGTAGTATATTACCACTGGTTTATTTTGCAATCCCTATCTTTCTATTGATTTCACATTTCTATTTTATAGGTTAGCAGCTGTCAAAAGAACTGGCCAGTTAATAATTCCCGAACCCCGAGCGACAACACTACAAAACATCAAGATGATGAGAATTCTGATGAAAATGTAATACGTTCTCATTCACCAGTTAACAATACATTGGTGAATAGTCACTAATTTACTTGCTTTAAAAATTTTTTTCATTCTTTTGTCTACAGGGAACTCAGTTTATTTCTCCCTGTATTCGCTTATTCCTACTCAAATTGTTTTTTTGTAAGCTGAACTGGATGAAATCTTTTAATAATCTGCATTACTTTTTACTCATGAGTGTTCTAAGCACTACGTCTTTGTAATAGTTACTACTCTGTTTTGGTTCTTTTATTCACTCCCCTTTTTTTGTAACTTAGTCTAATATAAATCTTTTTTTCTGAGATTGCTTTAATTCCCCTAAATTCTGTGCTGAATTTCTACGCCAAATTCAGTTGAAAGGATTAAGCTTAAGTTATTTGTGACGTTTTCAGTCTGATATGTTCAGTTAAGTTAAATATTACAGGAAATTTCTGTTTTGCTCTCAGTTAAAATAAAAAATGGTTTAAAATAATCCACTCGATTAACTTACATAATACAGCGTGACTGACAAACTTCTCATAAAAAGCGCAAATCGAGAAAAAATGTTATATTTGTTGAACACCCTGAGTGTTTATGGTACTGCATGACGTGTAACATACTGATCCGAACGAGTGGTTACAAAAAGTTAAAGCACAACTTTAATAACTAGACTATAACAGTGTAAACAATAAATGTCTGTGGTTCCCGTTCTGAGATGAAATTAGAGGTTGAAAATCTGGTTGCAACCAAGTATCTGAACAGACAGAAGATACTTTAACTCCCTACAAGTGTTATTGATTTAAAGGTCTGGTTTAAGAATCATGCAGATAGTAAGAGTTTACTTCCTGAACGTTACTGGAATTTCCTTTGGAAAACAACAGTTGTCTGTCACATTTTGATTTCAACTAATAGGCTCTCATTTTAGTTTAAATGTGATAATCCTGCTAGTCACTTTGGAACAAACTGTCTAATTATCACAAGTTGTCATGTTGAATTTTCTCAAACACAGTATCATATTTTCACAGAATAAAAACAATACCCATATAGGATACATGAATACTAAAAACAAGAATCGAGGATATAGTTTCAGCTCAGTCTTAATTTCGAACTTATACGGAATATACCGTGGAAAGACGAAGATTTTGGTAGACACAGCATTGTACAAAGTACTGATAGATCAACATGACCATACATATACAGGATTCTTCGAAGCAGCAGTTGATAGAGTCTTATACCAATTTCGAAGAAACCAAGTTTTTGTTTAGCATGCATAAGTGTTGTTCTGTGAAGGTTCTTGACACTCGATGGTTTTCAGGGTAACTAATTTATCGAATAAATCATTTTGTCATAAAACAGGCGCTGGTGCTCAGAGCGACAAAAGTTAATCAATTAGTACATCTAGCTCTAAAACCTCAACAGCGTCACAAAAATAAGCATGAACTGTAAATTTCCAGTTAGTAAGAATGTTCTGAAACTTGTCAGTTACCTTAAAGTAACATTCTGGTTTATCAAGTATTATTACAGAATCAGCTGTTCGATAAAATTAAATGTTACGAATGAGTTTATTTGATGAAGGGTATGGATTACATTAGTTGCTTTATGCACAACTATCATATTCAAAGCCACAATTTGTTGGCTTTGTGCGTTCCTTGTGAACCAAGTACATTCAAGAAACCACTGGTCAGCTTGATTCGATTAACAATGGAGAGGGTGAAGTATTGAGGATCATTTTCACCATCCACCTAGGGATGTGATGTGACTTTAAAGTTTAGACTAATCCCTTGCACTTTGTTCATATATATAAATTTACATCGTTTACCTGGAGCATAATTTTTATTTCAGTGACCACCATCAAAACCATTCAATCAGAGTTCGCTAAATTATTATTGTTTATAATTAATAGAAAACATGATTTCGCGAAATGTTCCCTACTGTTTATCCCTATTAAAACCAATGACGCGATTGTTAAGATAATTGATTTCACTAAAGAAACGTTGACGAATAAAAGTTAAGTTGAAGTCAGAAACTTTTTACAATTAGAAAACCCACTGATGCGATAGTTCTGTTCTCTTTCATATAACATCCAACTTGTATGTATACGGTGAGCGATCGCCGAGTCGATCGATGTACGATTAACGTATGGAATCGATTTTTCTCTAATCGTTCGTGAAATGTAATCACATCTTGAAAAGAGGTAATTACATAGCGTAGTCAATTCGTTATATCTGTTAGTTATAGATGTTCAATTGTTTGAGTATGGTAATTGTGTTCATACAGTAAGTTATTGATTAATCGATGTTAAATACCATTCAGGTGGATTTATACAAATCTGACTGTAAATGAATCATGTAAAATGTGGTATATTCATATATGAGTTTGACTTGTTTCAGCAGTCAAATAAATCGATATTAGCAGTTTTTGTATTCTCACTACGCAACTTCAAATTGTGGGTTTCAGTGTCAAACACTAGTCAGTTAAGCTCTTGGCAGACACAATAAGTTACAAATTTAATAAAAAAAGAAGAGCAAATCCATATAACGCCGCTAAAGTTACGGTATACGTTGAGTAAAGGACGTTACTTGACAGTATTGACTTAAAACTCGTTGGTCTCTGAACTGTGGATATTTATTGTGTACGTGTGGATTAACTGTGTGAGTCATCTTCACGGTCATTTAACCGATACAGATGATTCATATTTTCTTCATTCTTGTACAGTGCAGTTGTTAGTTTTACTTTGCATATCACAAGTGTGGTTTTCATACCCTAAGGACCTCATAGTATTCTGCCTTCATTAAGGATTAGGAACTTCAAGTGCGAAATGTTTAATAGGTTACTTGTATACACCTCCCAGTTTAATAATTAAGAATGGCGTGTTTTCTGTAATGGAACTGGAGATGGTTATATTAAATTAAAAACAATTGGTGACTGGAAAATTATATTATGGCTGCTTAAAGCTCATCTAGGACTTTTCACTATGAAAATTTCTAATTCCTGTTGACGGATGAGTGCACTAGTTGAACACTTGTTTTGTCATGACACGTGGATAACACTTGAAGCTTATAAGTGTTCAATAAAAAGTACGTTCGAAACAATGGCCTTATGTAGCATTAAACAGATTTAAAGTCAGTTACGAATGATAAGTCAGTCGACCAAAATAGGCTGAAATATCTGCAGTGTGTATTAACCATACTTAATATCTAAATCCGCTATACCAGTTTTGACTAGTTTAATTGTATTGCCTAATATATAACACCCTTAGTCGCAATTACTTTCGATCAATTTTACTTGTTACAATATTGTAGAATAGATTTCAAAATCCCAAACTGAATTCTTTGATACAGTTCTTGCTTTCCTGAAAATTTGATATGATCAATGCGGTGAAATTCTCGTCTGCTTTGATTAGTGAAAGCGACAATACTTAATTTCAGTCAAAATTTTTGTCTACTTTCAAATAAGTTAGTAGCATAAGTTTATATTTTATTTTTATAAGAAGGAGAATAGTTTATTGACTCATTTCAAAATATCTGGTCCTGAAGGCCATTGATTTCCTTACGAACTACTAGTGAGATCAAATACACACATACTATGCCATCAAAATACATTTATCGAGGGTCGTGATTCTTCCTAATTTAGGGGATATACACAACCATTTTCATGACCACAAAATTTGTTGAGACAAAAAGTATAACAAAGGAATTTCATTACTGATTGTAAATTGATTGTCATTAAAATTTCGAAGTGATGAGATTTCATTTCAGTTTATGCAACATTTTGTCTATAAAACGAACATTTTCCTATAAGTTTTAAAACTCTTAATATAAGAAGTAAATTATTCTCTTATTCTTACTAAATTTCAACGGTTCAGCAGCAGTAGTCATTCCAAGCAGAAAACCATCTAAAAATCAAGAACAATTTTTTCCTCCTCTATATCAAATACAACTTCCTTTCTGTATGTGTTATTCTGAAATAATTCATCACTCAACCCTACTCTATATTCACAGTTCTTTAATACACTTCAAGCTGACAATTATCATTCATCTGTAATCTTTTGTTACTTTGATTTATTTGCTTGGCTTCCATTTTATCATAGATTTATCCATTATAACTATCAATACGATTGTTTAGCTTTAGTAAAGTAATATCGTCGAAAAGAAACTTTTCTTCGTTCGATAGTCTCTATTTCGTTTTCAATGTGATCTTCAGTTGCTTTTTTTAAAACTGAATATTTGGTTTATTCCATGGAAAGAAAAGAGTTTTTTAATATAGATATCTGTTTAATCAATAAACTGACTCAAGAATTCATCTTATTTTTTAATTATTAATCGAATAACTAACTATTTCACACAAAGAAGTATTAATAAGATGAAAAATTTTAGTTTTTCAGAAGTTTAATGCCACTGTGACATACTTGTAATGACTATCACCAACTGAAATTAATTTTCATTTGCAGGAATGTGATCTATTATTGTAATGATAGATCAACACTATGTTGGACAGTAACATATCAGTTGAAATGATCACATTTTTCAAGGCCTAGAATAAAAAGACCAAATGTAACCGAATGTCCGTCTATATACATACAATTAGTAAATTATTGTCAACATTGTAGATAAGTAAATAGTTGAACTTCTAACTTTATTCAAATGAAATCAGTTATATGTTAGATTCTACTTTGTACTTCCAAATCATAATACGGAAATAATTATAATTATGCAGACTACAAATAATCTAAAGTTGTGTACTGCTTACTTTTTTGTATATTCAGTAGTATTTATCTTATCACATTGTTATTTTCACATAGTTTGATTGTTTCATCAAATTCTATAAAGCCAAGGGTACATTTTAAAGTGCATCTCGCTTGGTTAAAATATTAAGCATTATTAGTTCATCACTTTCAAGAGTGACGAATCCTTTCAGCTACCAAATGAAATGTAATAACCAATTTAAAGAACTTAGCAATGTAGTATTCCATATTGTAGTATATAAATATATGTCTTAAGGTATCTGGTGAAATTGTTTTTGGGTATCCGGTGGAATTATACGTCATCAATTTTGTAGAAACTTACGTCCACTCAAAAGAACATACTTTCATTGTTCAGAAGCATTGATCATAAGATAATCTGATCTTCTGATGAACCAGATTAATTGCGCATTCGAAAGAATTAGATCAACATCAAAGCTCAAAATATTTCTGTCATGACCTTGAATGTCTGGCTTTGCTATCACGCGACTTATCGACCAATCAGAATACGACTTATACGATTTCGCACTATGCCAAACCAATGACGTTCAACCGCTATAAGCAGTTTAGCGTCCTTATTGATCCTATGTCCTCCTAGCCCATCCACTTGAGTCAAGAACACAGTGCCAGCTTCTGTGATATGAGTCGAATCGGATTGAATTGGATCGTTTATTTCAGACATACTCGGTTTATATATCAATCAGACAGACCACAACGTACCATTAATTACAAAATAACATGTGTACACAAATAAGCCAAAAGTGGCTGTGA